ATCCCCTGGAAGATATAAGATGTAGGAAATAGTAAATATCCCCTGGAAGACAGACAGACAGACAGATAGATAGAAAGATAGATAGATAGATAGATAGATAGATAGATAGATAGATAGATAGATAGAGAGATGTCAGACAGACAGATAGATAGATAGAGAGAGAGAGAGATAGATAGATAGATAGATAGATAGATAGATAGATAGATAGATAGATAGATAGATAGATAGATAGATTGATGGAGAGAGAGATAGATAGATAGATAGATAGATAGATAGATAGATAGATAGATAGAGTGATAGATAGAGTGATAGATAGACAGACAGACAGATAGATAGATAGATAGATAGATAGACAGACAGACAGACAGACAGACAGACAGACAGACAGACAGATAGATAGATAGATAGATAGATAGATAGATAGATAGACAGACAGACAGACAGACAGACAGACAGATAGATAGATAGATAGATAGATAGACAGACAGACAGACAGACAGACAGACAAACAGATAGATAGATATATAGATAGATAGATAGATAGATAGATAGATAGATCATAATATGAATGCACAACTGTCATGAGTGACTATACTATATTTGCTAATAACAAAGATATCTGTAATCAAGTATTGACCTCGCTCACCACTTTCTCATTCTCTCATTCAAGAAAATTCTATAGCCCATGGCTTTTACCATAAAAGCATGTTTCAGCTAGCTCGGGGCGAGTTCTTTCAAGCGGCATCAACTTGAAAGTTTAATAGTGTTTTCAACTATATCCTTGGGCATCTGGTGATTTGGTCAATTCTTCCATATTTCTGCAGTTTTTCTAAAAATGGGGATAATGTGTAAAGAGCACCCAGTATTATTTAAATGAAGCTAGTGGAACCAGTACTCACTGTAAAGTCTATTATGTATTTGGGTGCTAAAACTCTGCATTTAGGGCTGGTATTCGGACATAATGTTTTTTTGATAATGTTTAATGATTTTATATTTCCGGTAATGATCTGCATTTATGTAGTGTTGGAACACAGCAGCTAATACATATATTGAGACCGGTGGGGGGGGAGTGGGGGTTGTATTTGACTTTTCAACATGATATGTTTGTGCTGTTTGCTCAGATCCAAGCATAGGAGCTGACAGGAAGAACTTTTGAAACTGAAGTTCTAAATATTCATCAATAAAGTTCTAGATCTTTGCATAAAACCCACAGTAAAAACAATTATACAGGACTTTGCTATAGCAAATAATCAATGTAGTACATTAAATGGCTTCAGCGACCTCTCCCCTTCATGGCCAATTCCTGAATGGAAGATACTGATAGGTTGAGAACATTGCTCTAACTCTCCTCCAGCAATCTCAGCAAACCACTGCTGTTCAGTTTGGACAAAATTTGCTATGTTAATACGCAAGTGTACAGAAGGTAAAGATGCAGTGATCTCAAGGTGCAGGAACAGCCCTAGTTTTCGTACAACCACTTCTAAGCATTAAAAAAAGACCCCAGGATCAGAGAACCACCTTGCGGGTTACATCGTTCTCGAAGGTGGAACATTTATTCATTTATAAAATATTTTACCAGCAATGTTACATTGAGATTTCTATAATTTTCAAGTATGAGAAGCCAAACCAGAGACTTAAGACTATTGAGGATACTGTTGAGATAACACAGTAATCAGAGCTGAAATTGAGCTCTGTATCTAATAAAATGCCAGTACATCTATTCCAGACACGTTTTGAATTCTAGATAAATATTTCTTTTTTTTTATTCGCCAAGGTGGATGAAGTAATATTGTATAAAGCGCATCCATTACTTGTTATGATATTATAACTTCTTATAATCTTGGCTACTTTGACCTAAAATTCGCAATTGCACCGACAGTTATTCACAACCACCAGTTTAGTGAAAAATCCCGATGGATCTCAGCAGCTGGCGATGTAGAAAATTGGAATATTATTTTTAAATGAAGTGGAAAGTGACTTCTGCATAAATTATACTGGATTCTAAAACCTGTAACCACTAGTGTCTTTTCATAAGCCTGTTGTATGTTAATAAATACAGTGTAGCCATGTGTAATGCTCTGGAGGCCGCTATAGAATAGGAACATTAAAGCTGGGTTATTATTAGCCTTAATATTCCCATTTCAAAGCCCTTTGATGTCCATGTGTGTCTCAGTGATGATTGTATCCTATGAATGCACATATTTACAACTCACAGAGATTGGAGAAGAATAAAGATGAGCTGTAAACTAACTATAACGCAGAATCTACATTTAAATTGATGCTAAGCTAAAAAGAACACACAGGGTTCACAGAATTCCTTTTACATTCTAATACACGGTCTCATAATGTAACAATATTGACCTAGTATTTTAGTAACAGAGTTCTTCATTTAGATGAATCCCATAAATGCAAATCAAGTTTAAGCTAAATTAAGGCTAATGGAAGCAGTTGCTTTAAGCAATGAGACATTTTTCTCAGAATATAAATTATGCATGGGTCTGCAGAGGTAAGTAACAAGGGGCTATGCAAGGGGCTGGTAAAAGGAGGAGGCACTGCATATGAAGGGGGTTTGCACAGATTTGCAGGGAAGGAGGCAACTGATTGATGCAATGTAAGGTGCAAAGTAGCGTTCAAATGAATACCATAGACACCAAAACAACTTTAGCTTAATGAAGCAGTTTTGATGTATAGATCATGCCCCGCAGTCGCACTTCTCATCTCTCTACCATTCGTTAATTAATTACTTTGTTTATACAGCCCTAGCCACACCTCCCTTACACAGCCTTCATAAACACTTCCTGAAAAGAGAAATCTAATGTTTAAACTTTCTTTGTTGCGCAGTCTGTTTCATTTAGAATTCCTTATCTCATGCTTTGCAGGAGCCTCCTGTGTGTGATTACAGTTTAATTCATTGAGCAAGAGATCAAACTAAACTAAATCATCTAATGTTGAAACTTTTTTTTTAATTCTTTTTTTTTTTTTTGTGCAGGTAAATACAGAGATGCCTGCAATGATGCGGTAGCAGTAGCAAGCACAATCACTTCCATGTTATAAAACAGAAGCATGGCATTTCATAATCAGCACAATTTTGTAAAAATAATAATGAAGAAGATATCTCACATGTCAAGGCAGTAAACATGAAGTACGAGAGTACATGATGAGAGACAAGTAGACATGGGAGTTACTTAAGTTAGTAGCCACTGGATCATGATATAGACACCTCACTAGAGTAATTAAAACGGAGGTTTATAGAGAACAAATTAAAATCCAACATACGTGCATGAGGTGCAAGACTAGTTAAGCTGGGAAAAATAAAAAATAAAATACCACGTATTTGTCAACAAGACAGTGACAATTCCCATAAGGTAACAGGAATTATAGGAGTGTTGCCAAAATGAGCGAGCTGTCATCTAGCCTATACCCAAGATTGTGAAACACCACAATCTAGGCCTCCAGTTGTGCTGATGGGATGGCCCCGCCGAGCCCAGGCATCTAAGCACTCCAGGTTTCGGCATCCGGTAGCTAGGACACGTGTCTGTGGTGCTCCGATTCCGTGCAGTAGACGTTGGACAATCAAGACCCCATTACCTGGGGTGATGCTTCCTGATTGCATGTAGGCTGCTGAGCCTCATCCAGAATTGCACACAAACTTGATCAAACTCCTGCAGAAACGGACCTACGTGGCTGGTGGCTGTGGGAAAGTACGTGTTGCAGTACGCCTTGACAGGACGGCCACCATGAGTGTTAGACCTTCTGATCCAAATATGTCCAATAAGAATGGTGTAAAGAAGCATCGGCGAGCTCTGCAGAAGCAAGGAGAAAACAGAAGGCTCTGCCGGGGGAAGTGAGCAGAACATGACTTTGCAAGGGGTGAGAGGCCCTTGAAAGCTCTGCAGAAAAAAAGGAGAGAGCAGAAGGCTCTGCATAGGGTAAGAAAGCATCAGAAAGCTCTGCAGGAGCAAGGAGAAAACAGAAGTGAGCAGAACCTGACTTTCCAGAGGGAGGGACAGCAGAAAACTCTGCATTGAGAGTATATTCTTGGGTAGATCTTGAAAAAGAACATAAACCCATCACAACTGATTGTGTTGTTTAATTGATAAAAGTTTTATTTGCTGAATTGTGACTTGGCACTTGTAAACCAGAAAAGAGAAACTACTCAGAAGAAAACAAAAAAAAAAAATAATCAACTTGGACATATAAAAGCCTCTCTCTTAGCCAAGCTGGTCACCTTCTGAAATGATACAAAACATTAAAATAAAATCTCAATACTTAAAAAAATATATACCAGGGATAAAAATAAACTATGCATGCAAGTTTCTAGTGAAGTCGAATATCTGCTGAAATAAACAGCTGATCACATGATGGCAAACTCCAGGCACAGAGACCTGTCTACTAGGATAGTAGGAACTTAAAAAAAGATCTGGGAAGTAATAGGAACCTCAAGTAACATCCCAAATGCTACGATGAGCTCATCCTAAGCTTATAAATGATACATTAGTGGTAGTAAGAAGGAATATTTGAGTTATTTTCGACACGAAAGCAACCAGATGATTGGTTAGCCACTAAATAGGCTACAATAAACTTTCATGTTGAGCTAATTTTAAACATATATTTAGGATCACATCATAAGATGAAAATAAAAACCCTCTCCGGAGGAGTGGGATGATTTAAAACTGCTCTGATAATGAAGAGTAGATTATAATATTGTATCAATTCCAAAATAGTGTAACAAGACACATAATGGTAGGTTCATCATTAAAACTCGAGTACACAGTTAAGGCATTTATAAAAAGGCTTTATAGCACACATTCCAGCAGTAGTCACTGCAAAATTTCGTTATTCAAACAGTTTCAGAGTGTGCATGAAAATAATGCATCATCACTTACCACCACCATCCAAGACACCCTCAGAGCAGAGATGGCAGGGATCCGGTCTGAGGTGGCATCTCACTGCAAGAAGAGGCAACTGAAGCCCTCACAACACGCGTGACAACCGCGGACATGGCAATAACCTGCCAGGGAACGATGCTCCTCTCAATGAGAAGGCACCTCGAGGACCTAGATAACAGGGGCCGGAGGTGCAATATCCGCATTCGGGGAGTCCCAGAGGCTGAGGGTTCAACAGAAAATGTGGTGGAAATACTCACCGAACTCTTCCAATCCATCTTGCAGCAAACATCACCACAGCACATAGAGTTCGAGAGGGCACACAGAACAACGCGACCCAGGACCTTGGAGGATGGCCCAAGGGACCTGATATGCTGCCTACATTCCTTCCCAATTAAAGATACCATCATGAGGAAGGCCCGAGAAAGACCAACATGGCCCTACAGGGGCACCCAAGTGGCATTATATAACGACCTGTCCCCAATCACACTGGAGTCCCGGCGAGCCCTTCGCCCCGTGACGACCGCATTACGAGAACGAGACATCACCTACAAGTGGGGGTTCCCGTTCGCACTGATGGCCAGACATCGAAACGGCTGGATCTCAATACGCTGGCCCGAAGAAGTACTGCGGTTCATGGAAGAACTAGGCCTTCCAATACCGGTTGTCCCCAACTGGATACTGGGAACATCAGCTCCAACACAGCGAACGCAGAGAGGACCCAGGCGGAGAGAAACACGGTCACCTTCCGCTCAACCTGTTAGACGGCGCAGGAACCCGACATTTCCAGAGGAGTGAGTACAGACCTGCCTGAGCCGTCATCAGCCCCACAGCAACCCGACTCATGTAACCTTCCAGACTGAACCCTAGAAAGAACCCTCCAGAGAAAGTTACACCGACCCCTGATGCCTGATCAGTGCTACTAAGTGGGACTGGGACACTTACAGGTATGCCGGGACAGCACGCAGAGGACTTTGGGTGGGGGGAATGTGGGAATGCGGACTTGCTCCGAGAGGTCATACTCCCATCGGGTTCCACCCCTCAGGACTACCCCTCTTCCCTCCAAGGAATGGAAAACACCTCTCCACGGAGACCCGGGTCCACCTGTGTGGGGAGAGGGTACACCGGGTGAGGGCAGTGGTGAATACCACGATGAATTGAGCACTGATCCGCACTCCAGGACCCCTGACTCCCACGCTGCCGAATAGAGACACTGAGTTTACAAGCATACCCCCATACGTATGGGGCGCGGGTGGGAAGGCACATTAGGAAGTACAATTAGCACCTGCCCCTACGACAAAATCACAAGCTATCATTGCGACTGAAGGGAGGGGGTCGATGGTTAAGTAAGGGGCACACAACCTCACTACATACGACCTCCCAACGTATAACCATCTCCTCTAGAGTTCTAGGCTGGTCCCGCTCCTCGGGATCCCGGACCGGGACTCCGTCTTAGAAACCTTAAACACTACCCTTTGATCCTTCCCCCCTTCCCCCTCCACTTCCTTCACCCTCCCGATGTTGATCTGTGACAAGGGCCCGTGCCCTGTCTGAAATCCCAAAGAGATTCACAGGCATATGGGTATAACTCGGACCTAAGTAAGTACCCCGACTACACCACGGGAATGGCCTACCGAAACACACCTCTGAGGATTCTCACCCAGAACTGCAGGGGCCTCAATATACCTGAACGCAGATCCCATTTGCTGAGGGAGCTGAAGAAAAAGCACATAGCAGTGGCCATGATCCAGGAAACCCACTTCAAGGAAGGCGCGGTACCTAAGCTACAAAACAAGCACTACCCGAACAATTATTTCTCTAACCATTCAACGGCACACAAAGCGGGTACAGCCATAATACTAGCGGCTGAGCTTGAATTCAAAGAACTTGAGCGAGCACAAGATTAACACAGAAGGTACCTCTTCCTAAAGGGGGTCATAGCAGAAAGGATATACACCCTGGCTAACATCTATGTTCCCAATCGAAGACAAGCCCCCTCCCTGCACATACTGGAGGAATTCACGGATGGAATACTGATCGTGGGGGGGACTTTAACGTACCCCTGGACCCAATATTAGATTAATCATCGGGACACAGCTGTATCCCACAAGGTAGCATCCGGTCGATCTGAAAATCATTGGAAAACTTGAGACTGGTTGACTGCTGGAGAACACTCAATCCATCGGTGAAAGATTATACTTACTACTCCACCCTTCACAACCGCTACTCGCGCATAGACTACCTCTTCATCACGGAAGAGGGACTCACTCGCCTACTCAAAGCTGACATCGATCCATCCACATGGTCGGACCATGGCTCGGTTCGAATAGAACTGGAGTCCCCCATGTTCCGCCCGGCGACTTGGACATGGAGACATAACGAGGCACTCCTACTTGACCCAGTCACTAGAGAACAAATAAACCGAGAGCTAGAACACTATTTCAGAGAAAATGACCTACCAGAGGCATCCCCGATAACCGTATGGGAAGCGCATAAGAGCGTCATCCGCGGCGTACTCATCCGCATCACTTCGCAAAAACGGAAAGCGAATATGATCGAGATGACTAACCTGTACCAAAAGATATCGACGCTGGAAAGTCAGCACAAAAGATCCTAACTACACAGAGTTTACGGGGAATTCATGGAACACAGAAGGACACTTAAAGAACTCATCACAAAAAAGCATCTCCGAAACCTGCAACGCACAAAAGGCTTCTACTACGCCCACGCTAATAAAGGGGGGAAATATCTAGCTAGACTCTTAAAGGGCCCCACAGACAAATACGCAAACTGCGTCTTTCCTCAGGGGAAGTGACCCCGTTCCCACAAAAAATCGCCGAAGAGTTTAGGACCTTTTACCAAACCCTTTACAATCTACGTCCACCCTCGAGGACAGCTTGTGACGAAAGAAGAACCAAACAGATAAGAAACTACATGTCCGACACGATCAACAGAATGATTAGCCAAGAATCAGCATCGACGCTCGATGCACCAATCAGCGCAGAAGAGTTGGCAGCGGCACTGAAAGTGTCTAAACCAGGTAAGGCACTGGGCCCAGATGGTTTCTCGACTGGATATTACAAGAACTTCTCTGGCCTCCTGCTGCCATGGCTGACCAAATCAATCAATGCTGTGGGGGACGGAGGGAGTCTGGGTGCGGAGTCCCTGGCTGCGACCATCACGGTCTTGCTCAAACCAGGAAAAGACCCACTGCTATGCGGTAGCTATCGTCCCATATCGTTGCTCAATGTAGACACCAAGTTAATCACAAAAGTTATAGCAGGCAGGCTCAATCACTCCTTCCCAGACTTGATACACGTGGATCAGACAGGCTTCATCCCGGGTTGGGAGCCCAGGGATAGCACGTTACGACTATTCTCAATCCAACAACACGCAAAGAAGACAAAGACCCAACTATTACTATTATCTACAGATGTGGAAAAAGCATTTGTTAGGGTTAACTGGTCATACATGACGGCTACCTTGCAACAGATGGGATGTGGACAGAGACTCCTCGCATGGATATCGGCATTCTATAGCAAACCACATGCAAACGTGAGAGTCAACTGGGCCACGACAGCGGACTTTGCAATCAGCAATGGTACCCGTCAGGGCTGCCCACTATCACCGCTCCTGTTCGCTATGTCCCTGGAACCACTACTCCAAAAGATTCGCCTGAACCCAAACATTCAAGGGTACAGTTGGCAAGGAACAAACCATAAAGTGGCCGCATATGCAGACGACCCCCTGTTCTTCGTACAGAACCCTAGAACAACTCTGCCGTGTCTCCTCTCAGAATTCGATAAATTCAGGAAGATCTCGGGTTTCAAACTTAACCTCTCAAAATGCAAAGTCTTGAACATCACGATCCCCACAGAAGAATATATATCCCTAGACTCGCAATTTGCTTTTCACTGGTGCTATGGACGGATGAAGTACCTGGGCATTTGGGTGGCCACAGACCCAGAAGACACATACCGACTCAACTTCATGCCGCTTCTAAAGACAATCTTAGCGGACCTAACTAGATGGTCGTACCCACACATAACCTGGCATGGAAGAGTAGCGGTCCTCAAAATGAATATATTACCGAGAATCCTGTATCTCATGCAGACAATTCCGTTAGCTATACCAGGGACCTTCTTCTCCGCCTTGAAAACGGCGATAATTAAATTTGTGTGGTTCAGGGAACGTTCCCGAATCCGACACGACATACTCTGCCGATCAAGGAACCACGGGGGACTAGCACTACCGGATGTCAAGAAATATCACCAAGCCACAGTAATGCAACGGATACTAGACTGGCACCAGGAACCCATGACGAAACAATGGGTAGAGCTCGACAAAGGCCTCATCGGACCAACACTGGAAATGAGGATATGGGGGAGGACAAGAGGTCAGGTTGCCCAAAACAATGAGGGGCTGATACCGCAAACAATCCTTGGCTGGAGATCGCTGAGAGATCAGAGCCATATATCGCCTACTCCCAGCCCAATGATTCCACTCACCTATAATGAGGCCATAGGAGGGGGACTCCCACCCGGTGCATGGCCCATCCCAGGTGCGGGGAACTACATCCCCATCCATAAAGCCCTTGAAGGTGGCAGGCTCCGGGAACTAACCTCATTATTAGGAGAAGAACCAAGGACCCCCCTCACGGTGCTCAGATATCTACAACTAAAACATTACCATGACACGATGCCACATAAAGATCGCCTGCACAGAGACCTCACTTGGTTTGAGGGCCTCTGTGACAGAGGCGTCGTACTAGATCACGCAATCTCAGCACTCTACCAACACTTAATTATCGGGGACACAACCCAGGCTTCCACCTTCTGCCGCCAGTGGGAAGGACAGCTTGGAAGAACACTTACACCCTCGCAATGGGACACGGCGTTGCTGTGGCAGCAAAAAAGCTCTATGAGCTCATATTACCAAGAGGTAAACTACAAACTGCTCTCCCTATGGTACAGAACACCATCCCTGTTACACCAGATCTTCCCATCAATCACTCCGACATGCTGGAGATGCCAGGCAGAACGCGGCACACTGATAAATATATGGTGGGAATGCAGGGACATTACCCCATACTGGGTAATGATTAAAGACACTGTGACCGACATCCTAGGAGACATACCGGAATGGAATGTGGAACTAGCCCTGCTGCATATCTCGACACAATCGATCCGGACGTATAAAATATCTATATTGCGTCACCTGCTAAACGCGGCCAAAGCTAACATACCGGCACATTGGAAAAAACATGACATACCAACTAAGAAAGAATGGATTCGCAGAGTGGAAGACATCCATGGAGCAGAAGAAATACACGCCTCCCTGACGGGACATGCAACAAAACACACGGAGATATGGCTCCCATGGTTTCTATACATCACCCTTTATAGGCAAGCAGAGGACGCCACCGAACCCATAGACAGGGCGACAGCAGGCGCGCATCCCACCAGACACAACCCATCCACCTCCCTACACCCCCCCCTGTAAGCCTCAATTCCTCCCCCCCTTTCCACCCAACTTTCTCACCAAGGGACTGCCGGATCCCAGGGCCCGGGAGGTGGGGGCGAGATCAGGGAGATATATCACCACACAAAAGATACACTAACCTCCGAAAAAACAAAAGGATAAACACCCAGTCTTGAGGTGATTCAAGAAGCAGCCCGACCCTCAGGAAACACGAGTCATACCTTGTTACACATACTATCACCGAAAAGTGTAGACGGAGGGGACAACGCACATATAAAGCAAAGGGCCCGGCACCTCTTAAACCCACACCAAACTCA